GTCCCTGACCAGATCCTTGTAGGAAAATGATCACAAAGCTCACAGTGGGTGGCACAGTAGTAGAATTGGCCCGTCCGGGTGTCATACCCTGTGAGGGTGTCTCCGGGTCTGGCGGCCCAGGTATGTGGGCTCCCAGGGCAGGGGCACCCCTGGCCATCCACGGGCTGTCCTTGGGGCCTCCTACTATCATGGCGCTAAGAGGCAGCATGGCCTCCCACCTTCTTTTTATTTTATTTTTTATTTTATTTTTTTTTTATTCATGATAGGCACACAGTGAGAGAGAGAGAGAGGCAGAGACACAGGCAGAGGGAGAAGCAGGCTCCATGCACCAGGAGCCCGACGTGGGATTCGATCCCGGGTCTCCAGGATCGCGCCCTGGGCCAAAGGCAGGCGCCAAACCGATGCGCCACCCAGGGATCCCGGCCTCCCACCTTCTTGATGCAATGTTGAACCTCCCCTGTTACGTGCTCACCGTTGGTTCCAGACTGTCAGCCACTCCTGTTGCTTCTCTCTGTTTGTATCCTTGGAAGGGCCCTGAGGCCCGGCCGCCCAGCCGCCCTGCGTGGGCACTGCCTCCCCTCTGTCCATCCTCATCCTGATCCCCATGCCACAGAGCTGTTTCCACTGAGACCCTTGCTTTGCCAGGTGGGGTGAGGCTCCGGGAAGGCTGACACTGGTTTCAAAAACCTCGCTACCGTTTCTGGCTCGGGGAGCACTCTGCCCTGGCCCCAGTGGCTGCAGCCCTGGTCTGATGACCGGGTAGATCTGGGTAGCAACAGAAGAGCACAGTCATCACGCCCACATGCCCCCCAGCACCCCTTCTCTAGACCCACGGGAAATACGGTCTGTCCCCAGGACAGGGGCCTCTCCGTTAGCCCCAGCCACACTGTGTATGAGCACACATGCGTGAAGGCCCTCGTGCTGCCCATGACCACCGCTTTCACTGCCTGGTGGCCTGAGGGGAGAGCTCTCCACCTGCCTGCCCGCCTGCCTGCTGTCAGATGCCAGGGGCTATGAAGTGAGCTGGGCTCACTTGGGCTGAAGTGATGAAGGTCTGCACTCAGTTCGGGGCCCTGTGTCCTGCTCCAGGAAAACCCTGAGCACTTTCGTCCACTGCCGGTCAGCAAAGCCCGGCCCAGAGCCAGTGTCCCTTCTGGCCGGGACACATCCGCAGCCCTGGGACCTCAAATGTAGTATCAGCGTCCCTGGCCAGCCGTGCTCGGGGCCACCCAGCAGGGCCTCCACCGCCCAGCCCGCTGCACCCCGTCTTCCTCTGTGGCAGACAGAACAGCCCTTCTTGGCACCTGGTGTCTCAGAGGGTGATCCAGGAATGTGTGTAGGCTTGGCCCATGTCTGCATGGCCCCCTGCCCCCGCAGCCACTCCACCTCCAGGGAGCACTCCGGGATATCTGCTGTGGATGCGTCATCCTCCAAACCCGGACGGAATCCTCCCGATGGGCTTCGACACGTCCTTCTCAGGCACCCTGCTGCACTTCCCTCGGTCATTCCCACAGGCTCGGTTTCCATCACCCGCCCACCTGACCACATGGCCCGGCTGCCAGCCATGGCCCACGAGTCAGCAGAAACCAGACCCAGGGCTTCTCCCAACTGCTCAATCCTTCCCTTGTGGCAGGAAAGCGGTGTGCAGGGCGGCGGTGGAACTGGTCTGCTTCCTCCTCCTCCGATGGCAGCTGGGCCTCAGCACAGAACCTGGTCTGTTCACCTGGGCCCCAGCGGCTCTTCATCAGTGGGCGAGATCTGTTCGCAGGGCACTGTCTGAGGGATAGTAGAGTCCGGCCCTCCTCCCACAGTTCTGGAGCCTGCACTGGGCGTGTGTGTGTTGGGGGCTCCCTGCCCACACCACCTCCTGGCACCCCCCCAGGTAGCATGGTACCGTAAGAGCCACCGCCACCCCCATCGGCTCCATTAGAGCGCTCTCTAGCCTCACCCGAGACCCTGGGTCGCTGGGCAGCTTCAGTTAGCATCCAATACGAAGGTAATAATGCCCCTCAAATGGAGCTTCTCCTGCTCCATGTCCTAGTGGCCATCGACGGGGGGTGCCCACACTCCAGCCGAGGATCCACATGGGGCTGTGGCCACAGAAAGTGTCTGGCTCCTACATCACATGGCCTCAGGCACTGGGCAGGTTCCCTTGGAGCACGTCCCATGGACGCTGCTCGAGGGACAGGGCTGCGTGCCTGCTGTTTGACGGCGCCAGGTGGGGGACACCACCAGGCAGACACCACATCCATCCCCAGACCCCAGATTGCAGTCTAAGAGAAGAGGAGACACCTGGCGGGAGGCCTGCTCACAGGCTCCAGCTCTTGGGGCCCGGCCAGCCCATGCACGTGGCCATCTCCAGGTCTGGTGGTGACCACATCAGGGCTATACTGTGGGTTTTCCTGCCACGGTGCATGGGGTTCCTGTGTCTAGGAGCCTGGGGACTTCTATTCTCCACCCCAGGGAGGGAGGGCCCAGGGATCCTGGCCCTCCATCAGTCTTAACATTTTTAAAAAATATTTTTATTTACTTATTTGAGAGAGTGTGAGCCAGAGAAAGAAAGAGAGAGCACAAGAGAGAGAGCACATGAGCACGTGTAGGGAGGAGGAGCAGAGGGAGAGGGAGAAGCAGATTTTCCGCTGAGCAGGGAGCCCAATGCTGGACTCGATCCCAGGACCCTAGGATCATGACCTGAGCTGAAGGCAGACCCTTCACCAACTGAGCCACCCAGGCACCCAGTCAATCTTTATCATGATCCAGTGTCTAATTATCGCCCCCGGGCACTCCCAGGTCTGCTTTCCCTCAGCAACCATGATCCTTCACGCTGGCATCGGTGGGTCAGCAGCAGGGCGTCCAGTCCCTTGGGCCCTGCCCAGCCTCGATGGTGCTGTATTGGGCATCTTGTCCCACTACTGTCTGTTTATCATCCCACTTCTTTTTTTTTTCTTTAAAGATTTTATTTATTTTTTCATGAGAGAAACAAAGAGAGAGAGGCAGAGACACAGGCAGAGGGAGAAGCAGACTCCATGCAGGGAGCCCGATGTGAGACTTGATCCTGGATCTCCAGGATCACTCCTTGGGCTGAAGGCAGTGCTAAACCACTGGGCCACCAGGGCTGCCCTATCATCCCATTTCTTTTTCTTTTTCTTTTTTTTTTCTTTAAAGATCTTAATTATTTATTCATGAGAGAGAGAGAGAGAGAGAGAGAGAGAGAGAGAGAGGCAGAGACACAGGCAGAGGGGGAAGCAGGCTCCATGCCGGGAGCCAGACCTGGGACTCGATCCCAGGTCTCCAGGATCAGGCCCTGGGCCAAAGGCAGGCGCTAAACCGCTGAGCCACCCAGGGATCTCTGTCATCCCATTTCTTAATGACCATCTAGACGTTCCCACCCCACCGAGTCCCTGGTTTACAGGATTTAATTAAATCCCCTCTTCTTTCCTCTCACCCACCATTGCTGTGCAGAGGACATGGGCATGGCTGGTTGTTATCTTTAAAATATACTTTGAGAGCTGTAGGAGGCAGGCTGACCAGCACGGGACCAGAGGGGCAGTGCACATGGCCAGAGACCCTCTGTCCCCGAAGGCAGGACCGGTGAGACTCTGGGGTGTCCTGGTCTGGGGACAAGGTCTTCAGCTGGAGGAGTGCCGTTGGCACTACATTAGGCGAGTGTGTGTGTGTGTGTGTGTGTGTGTGTGTGTGTGTGCACATGCAGGTGCGGCACTGGAGACACAAGAGGGCTACTGAGGTGGGTATTTGTCACGGTGTCACTTTTGCAGCTGCCTGTCACAGAACGGTCCTTCTGTTTTGGAGGACCAACCCCCTTTGTTGGTCTTACCAGGTGCTGGGGGTGCACCCTTGGGGATGGTTAGAGAACTTATTGGAGAGGTGGTTTGGGTGTCCCAGGGGGCGGCCTGGCTCCTGGAACTTGTATAGCACCCTCCTGCCCTCACACCAAATGTCCTGCCTCAAGTCCTGGCACCTGCAGACACAGTGTCCCTGGAAACGTGAGGTTTGTGCCTGAGGCGAGGAGGTTGCCGGGGGGACCTCACGCAGCCACAGGGACCCATGATGCAGAGTGCTCTGCTGCCGCCAGGGTGGGGGAAGTTGGAAGGCCTCTCGTGAGAAGGACATGGTCTCAGGGAGTAGATAGCAGTCCCCGCTGACAGCTGGCAAGGAGGGGGCCGTCTCTCCTACACTGCACCTGTGCTCTGCCAACGCGGAGCCTGCAGTGAGTGGGGAGCCCAGCCCCGCGCTCCCCAGGCTCTGGCCTTGTGAGACTAAGCACAGTGTCCCATCAAGCCTGCCCTGTGGCTTCTCTGACCACTTCCCAGCCTGATCCCACAGAGTCTGTGAGTGACTTGTAATCCTTTTGTCTGATGAGATGAAGCCTGCTGATGTGGGCCAGCCTCCTCCTCCTCCCCTGTCTCTCTACCATGTGGCACAAAACACCCCACATCCTCCGTGGAAGGCTCAGGTTTGGGCACACAGGTGGTGGGACAGGTGGTTCAAATGGTGTCAGCTGTCCTGGAGCAGCTGAGGGCCACCCGACGGGCTGCTTGCACCCAGGTGGCCATGGGGAACATCCACTTCAGTGGGGTGCTGGAGCACAGGCCACCCCGGGGAGTGTCGGAAGAAGCTGGGCTCCTGGGGCTGGCAGTCGGGGGCTCTGGGAAGCAGAGGGGACCGTGAGGCTGTGCACTGCAGCCAGGTAGGATGCCTGGGCAGAAAGGGGCCCTGGAGGGCAGGGCAGAGGGCCTGGGGGTCTGGGTCTGGGATCCCCCTGGTCCTTGTACATGGGGAGTACTTGTGAGGTCAGGTGTTGGTGGGGGGTGGGGCGACAAGATGGGGTTCTCCGTGGGCTGTAAGAGTGCATACTGGTCTGGCAACTCCCTGGCTGCCCCCCTCCCTCCATGTGGCCAGCGACCCCCGAAGCTCCTACCCTAGAGAATCACCCTGGGCTCCAGGCCCAAGGGCCCCAGCCAGCTGGGGGTGAGCAAGGGCATCCCAGAGGTGGGCAGGGCCAGTGCTCTCGGGCCAGGGAGCCAGCCTGAGCACCCAGCCCCCTCCACCTGCGGCCGGCCTCTGCCCCTGGGGGGATGAGGTGGGGTGTGGGCAGGCGGGGGGCTTACCTCCGGCTCAGCGTGTACTTGCCCTTGCGGTCCAAGCTGCAGCCAGAGCGGATGGCGAACCAGAGAAAGGAGCTGAGCAGCATTGCGTACACCTGCAGATGGCGGAGGCGTCCGCGTCATCACCGTTGGCTCCCGGGCAGGGGCGCCCTGCCTGCCTCGGCAGGCCCTGGCCTCTGCAGGGCTCCTGGTTGTCCAGGGAAGGCAGTGAGGCAGGTGCTGTCACCCGCAGACTGTCTCCCTGGGGTCAGCAGCCTCCCAGAGCAGATACTGCCCTCCACTGTGGTGGGGGACCCGCAGGTGGAGGGGCAGGAGGCGGGAAGGGGGCTGAGGGAGGGCAAGAGTACCATGGTGGCGAGGCCGATGCCGGTCAGGATGGAGGCGATGTTTCCGTACATCCTCAGGAAGCTCCTGATCCCCACCAGGCAGTCCTGAGTAGAGGAAGGGCAGCTTGCACAGCGCCCACTCAGCTGCCCCTCCCTGCCCAGGGTGACAGGGCTCCATCAAGGCATGGCCTGCTGTGCCCACCTAGGCCAAAGGCTAGGGTGATGGGAAGTCGGTGGGGGCTGGGGTGGACCACCCACCACTCCAGAGTTCTGGGGAAAGGCACTACAGACAGGCCAAAACTAGGGGACGTCAGCCAGGGAGCTGCCCCAGGGCCGGGGAGCAGGGGGCAGAGGCAGAGCTGCTGGGTGGGCCTGGGGTCCTGAGCCATCCTAGCCTCTTGCCCCAGCCCCGGCTTTCAGCGCGTCCCCAGGGCATGGCACCCACAGAGGGTCTCTCTCCGGTCAGAGGGAAGTGACCAGCACATCTCAGGACCACTTGGATGGTGGCATTTGACTTGGGGGAAAACGTTAGGATTTGGGGCAGGCTGGGAGAAGGAAGCACAGCAGGACATCCGAGATGCAGAGTGGGAGGGGGCTAGCGTGGTGTCTGTTCATGCGTCCATCTGTCCACACATTACTGGACAGGGTCTGGGCCCTCCAGCCTCCTCGCTGCCACCTGGGCCTCTACCCCGGCTGGAGTCCTGCCCCAGCTCACACCTGGGCCATAGGACTGACTAGTTGGCCTGGAGGTCGGGACATCTGGCCTTTGGGGGCCACCGGAAATGGTCCCAGGGGCCTCAGGCCCCAGCCCTGCAGCCCGCCTGGGTGCCCTGTAGGATCATGGCTCCTCACCGGCCCCTCCTCCCCGAGTGGGCACACTTCCTCTTTGTAGGCAGCCAGGGGCCTGACCACCTGACAGGGCTCCATCTCCGCCTCTCCCCCCCACCCCCCACCCCCGCCAAGGGTGGCTCCAGGGCCCACACCCACCCTCCGTGGCCTTTACCGTGAGGACCCTGCCATTCCAGAGGATCACAAAGCCACCCCTTGCCCCACTTTGCAGATGGGCACCTGAGGCTTCTCCCTGGGAGGCATGAACACTCAGTCCCCTCCCAGGCATGCTAGGCACTCCTCTACACCCGCCCCTCCCCTGCACACCGCCCTTCTAGGGTCAGTGGCGCAGCTCGGCTCCCTCCCTTGCTGGGCCAGAAGCCATTTGCATCGTCCTATCTGGTTGTTGGAGGGCAGCCAGGAGCCTCTCTCCCAGAGATAGGGGTGGGTTTGTTTCCTGGACAGCGGGGGAGGGGAGCGGGAGGGCGGGCAGAGGCAGGGGTGGGGGGGAGCTGGAGGAGGTGCCAGGCCCCTCTCTGGGCCATGGGGAAGAAGGGACTTCCCTGCCCCTGCCTGCCACTGCCACTCCCTGTCCCCTCCATGGAATGCCCTTCCGGCTCCTTCTGGAGGAGTGCCCTCCAGACCAGTGTCTGTCTTTCCCCACCCCCTGTGCTTCTGGAGGCTTCCAAGAGCAGGCCTGGCCTAGGGGAGCCCAGACTGGAGCCGTGTGAGGGGATGAAGGAGCTGGGGGTCCAGTCCAGTCCTCACTACCGCCTCCAGGAGCCCTACAGTGTGCGGGTGGCCTGGGTCTGGGACGGGGAGGCCCAGGGACGGAGTGCACGGCTACCAGGCCTCACCTGTCTGGCTGCCTCCTCTCCCTGACACAGGCTGACCTCCAGGTCCCCCAGGAGGCTGAAAGGAGAGCTCTTGCCACAGCACAGGAACTGCAGGACATAGGGAGGGACGGGTGTTCAATGTGGGGCAGATGCAAGAACAGCATGAGGGGCCACAGGGTGGCGGTGGGGGTCCAGCAGGGCCATCCCCAGAGGCCAGGGCCATGTGCTGTCTGCGGGGGCGCCAGGCACGGGGCAGCCCGGCCCTCCCTACCCCCATGGCGTCTCCATACACACAGGGCTGGGACCGTCATTCCCTGCAAATTCGTCCCATCCCTCCACTGCACACCCCCCAGCCCAGTGGACGGCACATCTGCCAGGGCCAGCCACCAGGGCTGCAACCCTGTGGCCACTGGGGCCCTGCTTAATGCTGTGCTGTCACCAACTGGAAGTTCCTGATCATTTGGGGGCAAGAAACCTTTTCATTTTGCTTTGGGGCCCCCAGGTCAGGTAGCCAGCCCTGCCATGGTCAGAGAGAGAGGATGAGAGGTTGTGTACATCCCTCCTCACCCCAGAGGGCGTTGGTGGCCTGCGAGGCTAGTGGACTCTGGGCGGAGGCTGACACCCACATGCTCACCGTGTCCTGAATGGCCACCAGCTGCTGCTGTGGGGTGCCAGACACGTTCTTCACCGCCTGGTCATACACCAGGTCGTAAGTGTCCAAAACAGCATCCTCCACCTGCGCGGAAATCGGGGATCTCTTCACCAGAAGCCCCTTCCTTCCGGATACAGCTCCCAGAAATGTAGGGCCTGGCCCAGGTCCTCCTCCTCCCACAAGGCAGGGCTCCCCGAGGGCAGAGCCCAGATCTCCTGGGAGGCTGGTCACTGCGGCTCCCGGACTTCAGCTGTGGGGACCTCTCCCAACAAGCCTGGCCACTGCTGCCACAGGACTGGGGCAGGGTTCCCACACAATATGCCAGAGCCCCAGCCCCACCGCGCACCTCCAGCTCTGGTCTTCTGGAGCAGGGAGGGCCTGGCCAAGGGAAGTGTCCACCCTACATCTGTTGATCTGGGCTGCAAGGCAGGGAAAGCCGATGGCCAGGCCTGGGCAGAGAAGGCAGGGGTGGGGGAGCTTCCCACCAGGAGCTCAGCTCCCCAGAACCACCTGGTGGGTGTCAAAAAGCCCCAGGTGGCTGGGCTCCAGGCAAGGCCCTTGACCAAAGGAGCCGTGGGCATCCAGGGCCAGCTCTGGGCAGATGAGGCAGATAATGGGGAAGGAAGGTGTTGCTAGGGGCCTGGCTGGGGGCTGCCTTCACTTCACATCCCAACATCACCCAGACCTCTTTGACTCCACCCTCCTAAGTACCTTCTCCTGCCCTTGCTCATGCGGCTTCCCCCCAAATGCCAACACTTGCCAAGTTAGTCCTCCAAAGACAAACTGGAATCTCACCTCCTGCAGGAAGACTTCCCTGACTGCTCTGGAGTCAACAGTCTCCTGGCACAGACCAGGCTTCTCTGAGCCCCCAGCCTTCTGATGCCTCCTGTCCCTTCTCAGAAACCCTGAGCCCTCCCTTGCCATTTTCCCCACCCTGTGCTGTGCCATGCTTTATGGCTGGGACACAGTGATGGCAGCTCGGGGCTGCCCTCGAGAGCTGGGGGTAAACAGATGCCTGTGCCTACTCTGGCAAGGCTGTGTCCACAGCCCCCAGGCCTCAGCAGGAACCAGAGGGGCTTTCATCCCCACCCCGCCCCCACTTCTGGCACTAACTGGCCCTCCCATTGAGACATTGCACTGCAAGTCATCCCAAACTGGGTCAGCTGGTTTCCAGCCACCCTGCTGGGAGGCAGGCACGTCCTGGGCTGGAGGACAGGCCTTAGAGCTGGCCACCGCTGCTGCAGTGTCCTGGCTAGTGGCCCTCTCTCTGCCTGTTTCCTCAAGTTTATTATTTTTGTTAAGATTTTATTTTATTTATTCATGAGAGACAGAGAGAGAGAGAGAGAGAGAGAGAGAGAGAGAGAGAGGCAGAGACACAGGCAGAGGAAGAAGCAGGCTTTGTGCAGGGAGCCCGACACAGGACTGGATCCTGGGTCTCCAGGATCACACCCCGGGCCGAAGGTGGCGCTAAACTGCTGGGCCACTGCGGCTGCCCTGTTTCCTCAAGTTTAAAATGAAGCTGCGACCAGGAGCCCTCTGTGTCTTTGTGGGAGGGGTCCCAGTGAGGCTGGGGGCCTAGCAGAGGGGGCCTGGGATCAGTGGGCAAGTGGCTGAGACAAAGAGGCCAGCTCAGACCACCCTCCCAGTTCCGTCTCCCCCACTAGGGCCCAGGGAGTAGCCAGGTGCCCTGTGGCCAGCTCTCACTATCATAACATTGGCATAAGGACAACGTGTGTGGACCTGGGTCTGTCCCCATCACTCCAGAAGCAGGGATCGCAAACCCCTGCTTCAGGCCAAGAAGCAGATCCTGCAAAGCCATATCCCTCGCCCAAGATCCCAAAGCCTGGGAGTGGGCACAGGCTGGACTTTTTCCACAGGCCTGAGCCTCTGTCCCCCATTACTGGGTTTGGGGGTGCTCTAGGAGTCTAGGCCGTGTTTCTCCAGGAGAAAGCTGGGGTGGGCCCGATGGTCTTGGAGGCCACCAAGCCCCGCCAGCTCTGTGGTCCTCCCTCCTTAAGCCCAGCTTCCAGGACTTCAGGGGTGCCTCCCAGGATGGATGTGGGGCAGCAGGGGTAGAGAGGATCTTGGGGCCGCTGACTGCTTGCCCCTCAGACGGCACGTCTCAGATACCTGCAGCTCCCCATGGTGCACCCATCCATCACTCTGGGCTTTGTGAGTCTCTCTGCCCTGCCTGATTGCCATCGCCTACTGAGGCTGCCGGGGCTGGGGACACTCCAGGAAGTGTGGACGGCCCCCAGGGGGCCTGTGGTGACCTGCAAGTGGTCTGTAGATAGGCTTGTGGGCTCAAGGGTCAGCTCTGGCCTGAGCCTGCACAGGGGTGGGATGGTTAGGGAGGAGAGACTGACCTCAGGGAGCCACCAAGGACACTCCTTGCACTGATGTACTTAATCCTTGCATGAATTAGGACTTGGACCAGGCAGTTCACTGCTTGGTGCAGGTGCGTCGGGAGGCAGGGGAGCTGTGGCCCCCTTGGGTTCTGTGTTCACCGCACGGCCCAGCATGCTGGCCCTCACCAGTTCTGGGCTCTGTGTGCCCCAGCAGAGTGGCCACTGGAAAACCCTGCGAGTGGTGGATGCAACCCCTCACAGCCCCCCCAGGGACTGCAGCCTGGTTTGAGGCCACAGAAACATGTGGTGGGTCCCTTCTGATTGCATCTCTGGCTTCCCATCTGTGGGGCTGCCCTGGGCTGCTATCTGGACCCGGTATTTCAGGATATCTTAGTGGGGGGTTGTCCAGAGAGATGCAGGGGGACGGTGGGGGTGAGGGGGCCCGCCCACACCTCTGGTGAGCAGGCTGGCCTTTTGGCTGTCTCTGGTCACTGGGCTGCCAGCAGGACCTTGGAGGACAAAAGAGCCTGGGGCAAGGACCTATGTGGGCTGGGAGCATCCTGGGCTGAAGGGCCTGCTCGGATCCCCGGGGGAGACCCAGGATGGAAGGCACCCCCCCATGCCAGCCCAGACACCTCTGTAATAGTCCCACCAAGCCCTACACCCGCCCTGTTCCTGCTGTGTGGCAGCCCCTCATTGGTCTCGGTCTCCCTGCCCCTTCCACACGGGTGGAGGCTGAGGCCTGGGAAGGCAGCTGGTTGCCTGAAGGGACCAGGTAGAGAGGTTGACCCCAGAGAGTGAAGCCAGGGCTCCATTGCCCAGGCCACCTGTGTGCCCCCATGGGCCTGGACACACATGCAGATTGTACTGGGAGGTGGATGGGGCCCACTAGGCCTCGGGCATGGGAGGAGGCCCCAGCGCCCAGGTGGGGTCAGGCAAAGCTAAGAACCTTAGTTGTCAGATCAGGATGATATTGTAGGGGCTGGTGGCTGAGGATGGGATGGAGAAGAGGCCTCTGGGAGCTGTCTGCCTCCACCCCCTCCCCTTCTCAGAGTGGGATCCCCAGCTGGCCTATGGCCTGTGGCCCCTGCATGGCCCCTCCCCTACTGAACCCAGGATTTGGGGCTCTGTGTCAGAGCAGAGAGGACTGATGTATCCATCCTCAGGAGAGCTGCCTGGGGCCCCAGGGCACCCTGGTTGCTGGACTGACTGGGCCCACCCACACTGGGATCCAGACCCAGAATGGGCCAGATTGGTGGATGGGAATTGCTAGCCCACCTGGCTCTCCTGGGGCAAGCCTGCTGGCCAACCCCACCAGGGACCGAGGTCACCTTGTGGGGGCAGCAAGGCCCTCCAAGAGTCTTACAGCCAGAGGAAATGTAGTTTTTCCTACCTGGTCACAGGGGCACGACCCCAGATGATGCTAGGGGCATTGTGGGCAGTGTGGGGAAATCCTGGGCAGGGAAGAGGAAGAGGCATTGACTCAGGGCAATGTGCCCTGGGTGGTGGGCTGGATCCTCCTGGACTCTCCTGCCCCCGTTATGCCAGGGGAACCTGGCTGTGTGCCCCCTGGCCTGAGCACCTCCCTGCAGGACCACCAGGCTCAGCCTGGTGACTCAGCCTCATGGATCCAAGGAGCACAGAGAGGGGGAAACGAGGCCCATTTCTGAGGGCAGGGAAGTCAGGACCGGAGAGGGTATCACACAGCTGAAAGTACATGGTACAAACCAGGCCCAGTGTCCTGACCCAGCTGCCCATTGCGAGCCTCTGCCCCCTGCATGACCATCACGGGTGGGAGAGGAGGGGGGTGGTGGGGGCGACAGAGAGGCCAGGGGCCACTGAGGCCTGAGACACATGGGCAGGATATCAGGCCTATCACTTGCTGCTTGCACAGTGTTTTGCCAGAAACTGAGTACATTTCAGGCAGACTGGCCTTGGTTTTCCTGGGCTGGTCCTTGTGGAGGACATGGAGAAACTGAGGCCCAGCGAGAGGATGCATTGCTGGGGATCACAGAAAGTCAGGGCAGACAGGTCCTCCTCTCCTTCTACGGCTGCACCTGCTGGCCCCGTGGCTTCTCAGGCCTCCCTGAGGGTCTTGCCTGGGTCTGGACTCTCACAGGTGAATGTGGGCCCAGGGCCACCATCATCTCGTCCACTGCTGGAGACTGGGGGAAGGCTGGTGCCTTGTCCCTCAGGACTCAGCCTGGGAGCAGCTGGGCTAGGGGCTGCCCCCTACACACGATCCTGCTGGGGCCCTTTTCTCTAAGCCTCTTGGGTACCCAGTTCCTCTGTTCAGACAGGGATCCTGGCCTTGACCCCCCAGTCCTGGTCTTGAAGGGGCCAGCTCCACACAGACACTGGCCAGCCCCATTCCACAGGTAGCCTCTCTGCTCAATCTTGGGGCCCTGAATTCAGACAGAATTTGTGGAGGGCCTGGCTGCTTTGGCCCCAGTGCCCCACAGGGTTCTCCAAGCTGTGGCCCTGCCTTACTCCCCTGGGTCAGACTTCAAGCCCTGCTCATGTATGCTCTCTGGGGGCTGTGGCCCTAGTGACTACATTATCCCTGAGCTGGGGCCTCCCCCGACCTCCCAAAATGGGACAGGGGCCCTCTCACACTGAGTGCATTGACGTCCTGCTGAGCCAGCAAGCACCCAGAGAACGTGAGCTCAGTGGGTGGGTGGGGTAGAAGGAAGGATGGATGAATGGAAGGAAGGAAGGAAGGATGGATGGATGGATGGATGGATGGACAGATGGATGGATGGAAGAATAGACAGATGATGGATGGATGGATGGGTGGATGGATGGAAGGAAAGACAGATGGATGGATGGAAGGATGGATGAACAGAAGGAAGAATGGATGGATGGATGGATGGATGGATGGATGGATAGATGAAGGAAGGCAGGCACCACCTCCTGAGGGGGTGTCCACCCCACCATGACCATGGGCATCACAGTCCCAGTCACCACCAACATGGAAGCTCTACTCCAGGACTGAAGGGTGGCTGTCCTGGGGAAGGGACCCAGACAGTGGCAGGACCTGGTTGGGAGCACAGCCCCTTCTGGGCCAGTTTCTGGAACAGTGACCTCCGTAGTCAACACCACAGGTCAGCCGGGACCCTCCTCCCCCTGCTCTTCTTCCCCTCTTGAACTCCTGGGCCCAGCAAGGGGCAGGGCTGGGGGGCCTTGTAGGGGGTGGGAGGGGCTCTGAGGCCTGTACCTGCTCCCTTTTCCCTGGAAGCTCCTGCCCCAGCCCCAAAGAAGCCCACCCCACCTTCACGCAGAGGACGTCCCCCCAGAGTGGTCTCTCCCCCGTGGAGGGGTGACTTTATGGGCTCAGGTACCACTCTGCTGTGTGAGGGGGGCAGGGCCGGGCACTCACCTGGGTGGGGTTGTGGAATCTCCAGAAGGCCACCTCCACCAGGGCACCAAACACCAGGGCAAAGCACAGGAAGCCCTGGGACAGAGGAGCCACAGGTCATGGTGTATAGCCAGGTGGGCGGGCCACCTCCAGGTGGCCAGCAGACCCTCCCCTCAGGCTGCTGTCCACAGGAGAGAGCTTGGGCTGCGGGCACACTGTTCCCATCCCTTCTTCCCTGTTTTGGGAGGTCTCCCCCTGTTGCCCATTCTGGCTCCCAAGGGCACATCAATGGCAGAGCCACATCCCCGCCCCCAGAGAGGGAGGCAGTCCCCAGGATGATGGAGCCCCTCACCCTCTGGGGCTGCTTCTAGGGGTGGGCACTGAGCCTGAGGATCTGAGGGTCCAGGTGGGCGGAGTTGCCGCTGCCCTGGCCCGGGGGGTGGGGTGGGGGGGGTGGGGCTTTCTGCAGGTTCCCAGCAGAGACCCCTGGTTTGCTTCCACCTTCTGGAACGTGCCTCTGGGTGGAGCGCCAGCCTCTTCAGCTGGACTCCCATGGTTCTGGCTAGATGGAGCAGGGCAGATGGGGCATCCCAAGGTAGGGTAGGGCGAACCCTGTGCAGCCGCCTGACTCACTGCCTTCTTGCACCCCAATATTGGAGATGGGAGTTCTCTGGAGGCAATGTCTTCCCATCCCCAGCAGCCCCACAGTGCCCTTCTTCCTGTTGGTCGGGAGTTTGGAGCTGTTGAGCCTCCTGTGTGCAGAAGCCCGGAATCTTAGGGACCCCTCTCCTGAGAACTGCACAGGCTCAGGGCTCTTTTGTTGACAGTTTCAGAAGGTCACCCCAGACTAGGAGCCTCCACCTATATGCTGCCCTGGGGAGTCATCCCCACCCAGAGCTTGACCGGCCACCGGCCTGCTGGTGACCCTCAGACCTGGGTCTCCGGCCATGTGTCCTGCTCTGGGCAGTTCATCTGGCTGCTGCCTAGGTGTCTGGAGGGTGATGTGTCTACATCACCTCCTCCCCACCACGCGGGCTTTGTGAGAGCACCGCTGCCCCATGCTCTGCGTCACTGGCTGGGCTGACACATCACCCCTGCCTGGCCTGTCCACAGCCTGGGGCAGCCAGGGGCCAGGTTCTCCCCAGCCAGGGGCCTCATCACTGGGTGACACCCAGGAGAATGGATGACCAGCGGAATGGAGAGACAGACCAACACACAGACACTGGCTGGGCCAGGCCAGGACAAAGAAACAGTCACGCCAGGCGCAGAGAAAGAGCGGGCCACCCCGCCAGCCCCCAGTCTTGGTGTGGGCACGGGGCCTCTGGCTCTGCCTTCTGCTCCTCCTGCCTGCCCAGGCGCCTGGCCTGCGGGGGGGCCTTGTCTCCAGGACATGGCTCCTCCCTCCCCCTCCTCCCCCTTCCCCTCCCTTCCTCCCTCTCCTTCCTCCTCCCTCCTTCTCCTCCTCCCTCCCCTCCTCTTCCTTCTTCCTCCCTCTCCTCCTCCTCCTGGCTGGCTGAGGGCCTCCTTCTCCATCTGGAAACCATCGCTCAACACTGCCTCCAGGCTCAAGGCCCTAAGCCAGCCCAGGGGACCAGCATTTTCCAGAAATCATTTCATGCCTCAGGAGAGGGCCAGTCATCTCCCCACCTCCACCCACAGGCCTGCAGAGAGGGCCTTGGGTGAGGCTCATCTCGCTTTCCCAGGGCCTGGGAGGCAGGGGGCTGCTGGGTGCAGCTGGGCCCAGCCCCGTGTTTTCTTGCTCCTTGTAAATAAAATGCATAAATAAATCAGCCGCCCCTGCTAGCTCTGCTCCAGCATCCGGGCAATTTCCTGCTGGAGAGGCCTGTGTGGGGCGAGGCCGGAGGAGGTGGGGGCAGGAAGAGGGGGGACGGCCTCCCTGCTTGCTCGTCCCTCCACATACACCACTACATACAGACACACAGACGTGCCAGACGCCATGGGCGCATGAAAATGCAGGCGTGCGGGCCGCTCGGGCTCATCAGGCTGGGGACCAGGGCAGGGTCTGGGTGCAGCCTGTGGCTCCCACAGCCCGATCCCCGACCTGTAGTGCAGTCTGCAGGCCCTCAGTCTAGGGCTGCGCCTCCCTTTAGCATCTGGGCTGGGAAGAGCCAGGCGGGAGCGCAGCCTGGTGCGGGAGCCTGGGGATGGGAGCACCTTCCGTCTGCTGGAGCTTACAGCCTGGGCCAGCACCACGGCGTCCCCTGGTGGCGACACCGCCGCCCCAACGCGGGACTCTGCAGGCCTCAGCCGGCCCTGCTACAGCCTTGCCTGCCAGCCCTGCGCGCCCCTCTGGCAGGCCCCAAGCCTAGGGCTCCGCTCCAGGGGGACAATCCACCTGCCCCGTCAGCTCCCACTGGGCCTCCCCACCCTCCCTGACTCCTGGCCATGGACGGACCTCCCTCACTGCCTGCCCTGCCTGGCCCACCAGCCCATTGGGGGCCCCCTGTCTGCTCCCGCTCTGCTCCTCTGGGTCCACCCCAGCCTAGCCACCTAGGGCTGCAGCTTCAGGAGATGACGGTGTCCCTGCTCCTGCAGAAGTTTACAAAGCAGGTTTCATTCCTCAAACATTTGCTGACGCAGGCTGGACTGGAACCTGCTGACCCTCAGGGAGCCCAGCTCACAGGGTGGGGTAGGGGCTGTGGGCAGGAGAGTGGGGGTCTCATGGCTGGAGGGGGCCAAGGGAGTGGGGGGCAGCTGCAAGGAGACAGTGCGATGGGGGAGCTGCAGGGACTCGGGTTTAGAAAGGCTCCCTCTCTCTACCGCTTCTCTGCACGGTCCCAGGTACCCCGCTCTCTGACCCCCTCGTAGACCCAAGAAGCTGGGCTCCCACTCCCAGGGGGGGGCGAGAAACTTAGTAGATGTCTGACTGTGGCCCTGGGCCCCCCGGACACCTGATAACATTGTTTCCCAGGACGTTAGCGTCGAATAAGCCAGGGCGGACACTGGCATTGGCTCCCTACCGTCGGGTCTGTGAATGACTCCTAATGTCCAGCTGCTGCTCGCCTTTGATCAGACCCCTCCCTGGCCTCCTGAAGGACGCCTACCCTGGACCCCTTTCCAATGTAAACCCCCAAGCCCAAGTGATGGAGAGACTCCCCCGCCTGTTCCTTCTGAGTCACTGACACTTGTCTGTGACAATGTCTCTCATTCACGCTACTCAGTACACTCTGCATTCACTTAGTCTGGCTCGCCTTTGATTCCCGTCCTGCACGGAGCCAAGGACCCTCTTGGCTGGTTCTGCAGGACCTCCACCTCCAGGTCCTTGGGTCCAGGCTGGGCGAGGAGTCCTGGGGGGCCGCAAGCAGGGCAGGCAGGTGCCAGGGGGCTGCAGGGTGCAGGTGGGAGCCCAGGTTCCATAGGAGAGGATGGCCTGTGCCCCGAGGGGACAGGATGGATGGATCTCAAGGAGGCAGGGGTGGCAAGTGGAGCAACAGGACTGCCAGGGGGACAAAGACAGGCCCAAGGGGATGAGCAGGAATGGGGGCAAGTTGGGGGGAGGCAGAGCCTCTCCACAGCCGCACAGGAGCAGTGCAGGCTCCAGGCCCCCTTGGGGTCCCGCTCGAGCCCAGACCTCCAGGTAATTCAGTCTGTGGGGGGGCTTCCTGCTTTCCCTGGTGGCCTCAGTGACAGGAAATGGAAAGCATTCCCAGAGCCCCCAGTGTAGCAGAACCAGACCCTCCCCGGGCCTTTGATGATGGCCCCCAGGCCCAGGAGGGCCTGCTCTGCCGTCCTCACCTCACCCTGCAGATGTTGGGTTGAAGCAGGGCCTGGCAGAGGGGCCCTGGTTGGCTGGGGTAGATGGGGTCCTGGGTGGTGCTCACCCTGCGAGCCTCTTTCTGTGGGGACATGGTGGGGGGGTGGGCGGCTCTCTGGGCTCACTGCCCTCCCCGTTCTTGATCCCATCCCAGGGTGGGGGGGAGGGAGGGAGAACTCACCCCAGCCATGAGGCCTCCCGCCTCCCTCATGGTGGCTGCAGCACCCAGCACGGCGCCCACTGTCAGGAGCCCGGCCAGGCTGATGCCGGTGTAGAAGGCTGAGCGGGGACAGAAAGGAGGAAGGTTGGGCCTGTATCAGTGTCCAACTCGAGGGGACACCTGGGGTGGGGGGGCCTCTGGAAGCTGTAGACAGACCAGGAGCCCTGCTCAGGCGGGGCTGTGACACCCGTCACCCACTCCCTCTCCCCCCAGTGCTCGGAAGGCAGAGGGAGGGAGGCCAGAGGCCCTGCCCGCCACTTCTGCTTCCTGCCCGTGGCCAGCCTTGGAGGGGGGAGAGCTGGATATCTCAGAAGCCACAGGGCGAGTGCAGGCTGTTCATTCTTATCATCCAGGCCCAAGGCCCAGGCTTCCTGCCCCAGGATTCAGGCTTTAGTGTCAAACCCTGGGGCCTGAGGGGCAGGACCCCTGGGGCTGGGAGCGTAGCCTGACCCCGCGGGGCTGAGTTTCCTCCACAGCAGCCCTCCTTGGCTGGAAACCGTTCCCTGTGCTCCTGCTTGAGACCGAGCCCCCGGAGGGCATCCAGGCCCAGACCCCTTTGCTCTGGAGGAAAGGACACTGAGGCCGTCTAGGACACTGAGGCCGTCTGGATGCCACCTGACACCGAACCTGTCCCCAGGCTCCCAGAGTGGGACAGGAGGTAGATGAGGGAGCTGTGGCCCAGACCCCTGGCTCTGCCCCGTGGATAACCCCAGGGTAGCCCTCTCCACCCAACCCACCGTCAACCCAGCCCAGCTCCCCTAGGAGGCCCCTACACCCCCAGCCTGGGATGCCTCCCCAACGGCCTCTGCACCTGAAGCCCCCTCCCCTACAGGAGCCACATGACCCTACTTACTCCAGCGGTGCATGGCCTCGTACGGGGTCTTGTCTGAGGTTGCGTGGCCGATGACAGCAAAGCGGGCCCCGTAGTAGGTGAGGGCTGCCAAGGTGGCCATAGAGAGGCCCAGCAGCTAGGGGTGGGGCAGACCCAGGGTGTGGGGGCAGGGCCGGACCCACACGAGGCCCCAGAGACCAAGGTCTGGGTCTCCTGCGTCCCCCTACCAACCTCCCTCCACCTTCATGGTCTCGCTTGAGATAGGCTCAGCTTTGGGACTTCTGGGTGTTTCTGTAGGATGGTCTCCGGGAGGCCTTGTCCCAGACACCCCGCCACACACACAGATACCCCAACACACACACAGACCCCCTAACACACGCACAGACACCCCACCACACAGATATACCACTACATGCACACACACCCCCCCACAGCACACACACCCCAATACACACAGACACACAGTGCCTGCCACATGCACACACATCCCCCACCCTCCCCCTACCACATACAGTCACTGTGTGGTTTCTCCAAGGACCCAGAACCCTGGATCATCATCCTGTCTGCACCATGGGGAATGCTCCCCCAAACCCAGCAGCCCCCTCTCCCCGCCCCCCTCCGACACCAGTTCACCAGCCACCTAAGGCCCCCTGGCCTCATCTAGGCCCCATGCTGCCTGGTGGGGCCCACAGGGACATCCTGCCAAAACAGTCACCTGCTGGAGGCCCCAGGTGCAGGTCCCAGGGGCAGGGCTGGGTGTGTGTGGGGGGACCCCCGTACTAGAGGTACATTAACATGGCCCCCCTCCCCCAACACCTCTCCCACCCGACCAGCCTGTTACCAAGACAAAGAAGCTGGTGACCAGCATCTGGCATTTGACCATCCTGACCCGACTCCAGGGCCCCATGGTGGCCATCTCTCCTCCCTCCTCTCCCCTCTTCTCCTCGCCTCCTCTCCCCGCCCCTCCCCGCCCACTGTGGTTTTCAGCTGGGTGGGGGCCTCAGACTGCAGCTGACTGCCCAGGAGGTAGGCTGTGCCCTGCCAGTATCTCTATTTGTCAACACACCCAGAGAACTGAGCTTCTGGTCGCCCTGAAAGATGCGGAAGATGGGGAGGGGAGGGGCAGTGAGGCCTGCTCCTGCCACCCTCTGCTGTCTCCAGCCCTGGCCCCGGGGGACGAGGACCCCTGGGGTGCAAGCCTCTCCCCCAAGGGTGCGGCCTTGTCCTTGATGTGGCCTCAGAGCACATCCTGGGAGGGAGTGGGAGGAGGTGGTGAGTAAAGGGAAGGTGTCTGGGTAGAGGGTGAGCTTCTCATCCTGGGAGTAATCAAGGAGAATCCTGCCCAAGGCTTGATCTTTGGAGGAATTTGGGAGACAGGATGTGATTGGAACATCATTATTGGGGCATCATAGGAGGAAACATCATTCAGAATGTTCTGTGACAACAACATTTTGGGAAAGGTGATATGGAGCACAGCCTTCTCAAGGGTGCCAGGGAGGGTCAGAGCCCTGATGCCCACATGCCCAGGTGGGCCTCGGAGAGAAGCTGTGTCAAAACTCGAATCTGTAATTAACCTAAACCGTGCAGACCTGAGGGTGGGGCAGGCCATAGAGTCAGACGCGCGAGGGGCCCTGGAGGGGACATGTGGTGAAGCCACTGTCTGGGTCCAGTGTGTGCCGGTTTGGGCCGCTCAGCCACTGCTGGGTCCTTGGATGGGGGGGGGGTGCACTGGTGGGTGGCTCCCCCTCTGTCTCCTTCTGTGCCTCTCCTGTGAGGTCCTCCTGGATGGACACAGGGACCTCAGCAGGGGAGGGGGAGAGTCCCAGACAGCTGCAGATGAGGCAACCCCTCGGCCTTCTAGGAACCAGCCGCTCTGGCCATCTTCCTCCCCTGGCCAGGAGCCAGGCAGCTGGGACCCCCCCATCCATCCCAGGGCCCCCAGGAGTCCCCACCCTGGGTCTGCAGGGGCACGAGGGTGTTTCCGACGTCAGGTGCCTGTGGAGGTGCCATGGAGCCCAGATGTGACCCAGGGGGCAGCGAGAGTGAAAGTGGGGGACCTCGGGGCATGGGCCATGCACCTGGCCAGGCTGGCCCTCTGTCCATGGGGATGAACCGCTCACCAGGGTCTACCGCTGCTCGCTGCTCTAGCTTTGCTCCAACTTTGGTGAGAAAGATGGCACCTGGCAGACTGGGGACGTGGAGAGGTGGCACTGCCCGTTGCCAGCCCCCCAGGCAGTTCTGCACCGAGTACGGAGGAGGCCTTTCAGAGCCTGCCCCTGCCGAGTGCACCAGGCACTGTGCATGGGTGACGTTGTGTGTCCTCCCAGAGTGACTGTATCTCGCGTGGGCAGGAAACGAGGCCCCAGGTGGGCCCCTCTGAAGATCAGGCCCCTGACCAAGGCCACCTTCCTGGTGCCTGTGTTACCCTGGTGAATCCCCACCCCTTGGCCGAGCTACATCCTCTGCTCCAGCACCTGCTCTGCCAGAGAAAGAAGCATCTGGAAGGGAAGCCGCTGGCTCTGCCTGGCCACCCACCATCAGCTCATCTTCTCTGGGCACCGGGGTGGCCACCCGCTCCTGAGGACAGCGCTGACCCGTAGGAGCCACGAGGGGACCTAGAGCAGTAGGCCCATCCCTGAGGGGCTGGCCCAGTGGGACACATCCCTGCTGGCCCCCTCGGACCGTGTCCTGAGGGTCAGGTCCCACCACGAGCCAGCCTGGGTTGCCATCTTTTCCAGGGAAGAGGCAGGGCTTCCGCATGCTTGGGTGCACATGTGCAGGTGTGCTTGCACCCGGGGGTGCATGTGTGTGTACTAAGTCCTTTCTCTTTCCTCCTGCCTGACCTCATCTAATAATTGATAGGTTCATTGGAAACTGCTTGTCACAGGGGCTCACGGAAAGTGCTCCCACTGGTCAAGGCTGGGAGCACAGAGCTCCCGCTCAGGGACACAGGGCATGGCCCGCACTGTCACACCCAGGGGGTGGGCTGGGCAAGTAGCCAATGGAGTAGAGGAACAGGTGGCTGCGCCTGGACACCTGCCGGCCTGGAGAACCGCAGACACTGTGCACAGATGCACCCTCACGGGGATGAGGGGCGGGGGGCAGCCCTCAGGTGTGGCTGTCACAGCAACTTCCTTCCTAAGACAGGATGGGAGGGCTGCACCCAGCATACCTCGGCCAGGTGAGCGGGGCTAGCATCACAGGGACCAGTCAGGTGGGGAGCACAGGCCCCGATATGATGAGGTGGGAGGGCGCCTCACCCTGGGGTCCTCCTCCCAAACACACAACCCCCTTGGATCGTGACACACACGCCAGAAAACACCCACCAAGGGGGGGTCCCACAGTGTGCTGTGTTGTCCCCCTGGGAACCATCTAAGTCATCACACTATGGTAGATGTGATGTCATGTGGTGCCCTGGGTGGGAACTTGGGGCAGAAACAGGCTATTAGGGGAAAATTGAGACACTCGGGATAGAGCCTGGCCTGTAGTTGACATAATGGATCAATAGCCATTGATTCCCTGTGACGCCCGCCCACAGCCACGTCAGAAGCTGGGTGAAGGGTACATGCAAACGCTCTGTACTATGCAACGTTTCTGTAAATCTAAACTGTGCTACAGCAAACTTTATGTAAAACCGTGGTTTTGTCCAGCACCCCAGTCTCACAGCACAGAGCGGGGCAGGTACTTTGGAGCTGGCTCTGCCTGTCCACTCATTCAGTGATGTCAACTACCTGCCTGCCCACCTGCCCAACTGCTCACCTGCCTACTTGCCCACCCACTCACCTGCCCACCTGTGCACCTGTCTGCCTGTTCACCTGCCCACCTGCTCACCCACTCACTTGCCTACCTGCTCACCTGCTTGCCTGCCTACCTGCCTGCCTGCCTGCCGCGGGCCCACCTGCTCACCTGCTTGCCTGCCTGTCTGCGCACCTGCCGCCTGCCCACCTGTTCACCTGCTCATCTGTCCACCTGCTCCTTCACCCAGGTACCCACCCTTCATTTACTCACTCCCCCTCACGCCCTTTGGTTCTGTTAATTCCTGCAGCTCTTCACTTGCTCACTTGCCCCTGCCTGCTCTCTGCATGCTACCTCAGTTTCCCTAGGAATCCGGGTAAGGGGCTGTTGGCACTGAAGCTGACCCTTCCCACTTGGAGGTTACTCTGCCTGGGCCAGCAGCCAGCAGCCTCCGCCCTCCTTCCTGACAGCCGCCCAGATGGAGGCTGCAAGAGGTGCCCCCCTCCTCCATGGGAGATGGGCAGAGGCCTGGAGGGGCCGCGGTACAACCCCCCCTCCCAGGGCACCTCAGTGTACCTGGTGTACCCGTGGGCTCATCGCCTCTGCACAGCCCTGTGTGTGGGGCTTACTGGGGTGGGGCTGAACACCCAGAGACCTGTCATGGCCACACCAGGACCTGAGTTCAGCCCCACACCTTCTCTCTGCCCTTTGTCCTGATTTTGAAATTTTTCCCAGCAACCCAGACACATCCCCACCTGGGGCAGCTTCTCCTAAGCCCAGGCAGGGGCTGGAGGCTCTCCTTCCTGATTGCCTTAAGTCTGGGTCCCCCGTGTCCACATCAGACCCACACAGCCCAGGGAACCCCACTCCCCCAGAAGTCCTCACCTTGGGCTTGCAGGGCACACCCTGGCCTGAACTCTTGGTGGCTGAGCCAGGCGCAGGCTCAGGGCTCTGGATGCTGTTCTAGCTTTCCTGAGATTCTGGGATGGAGCTCGTCCTGCCCAGGAAGGGGTGGGGTGGGGCCCAGGGAGGACTGCACCCCTGCATACACACAGTGGCGCCTGGGGGCTGCATGGAGGTGGGCCGCAAGGGGGTGGAAGGGAGGGCCACGTCGCTTCTGTAGGAAGCATTGCAGGATGTTGTACCTGTGGCCTCACAAGAGCCAGGAGACAAACTCTGGAGGGGGCCTGCATTCCCCTGAGTGACCCCATCAGCATGGGGGCGGGGCCTGGGGACCATGGAGTCCCTGCCCTGCCCAGACCACCCTGGCCACCTGGCCGAGACTTGGTATCCAGGGACCGAAGAAGCAGACCTGGGGCTATAGGCCCCCAGGGTGGGAGCAGGGCGTCCAAACCTCCCAGGGCTTCCCTGGGTTAGGAGTGGGGGGGGCAGGAGCCAGCAGCCTCACCAAGGAGTGTGGATGGGCCTCTCCCCACTGGTGGTTGCCAGCCCTCTAGCCCCCCGGGGCTGTCCAGGCAAACACTTCCAGCCCACTGCTAGAATTTTCTTTAACCTGTGGTGAGAGACTAACAACCAAAAGGTGTAAGCATGACATGGCTCCAGGGCAGCATTCACACAACTTCTGGGACCTGGGGAGCCCCCCGTCTGAGGCCCTGCCCCACTCAGGCTGCAGACTCCACGTGCCAGGGGATTCCTTCGACTGGCCCCTCTGTGTCCAGGAGCTGGGGACACAGGGTTGGACACAGAGCTGACAGCAGTGAGGAGTGGGATGAGACGAGATTTTATACTGGGTGGTGGGCTCAGTGCCACCCCCGTACAATCTGGATGCTCTGCCCCCAGATTAGTGCCCAAGCCTTGCCCCCAGGTGGTGGTGGTGGAGGTTGGGCCTCTGGGAGGTGCTTACATGAGGGCGTGAAGCTGGGGTCCACGAGGTCCTCGTGAGGACACAGTGAGGAGGTGCCGTCTGCAGAGCAGGAACCGCACCAGGGGCCCCGTCCCCAGGCTTCCAGCCTCCACAACCGTGAGCATAAATGTGCGCGGGTTAAGCTCCCACCTGAAGTGTCATGTTGTGGCGACTCTGGTGGACTCAACTCACATCCATCATGTACGCTCACCTCCTATTGGTCAACCCCGAACCAGTTCTGGGGAAACCAGTGAACCACACAGATGTGACCCAGAAGCCTGGTGGGAGCCCACGGTGCAAAGGGCATG